TCATTCATTCCTTCCTTCATTCATTCCTTCCTTCATTCATTCCTTCAATCCTTCATTCCTTCAATCCTTCATTCATTCATTCCTTCCTTCATTCCTTCCTTCCATCATTCGTTCTGCAGCCAGCTTTGCTTTGCACGTTACAAATATGGCAGCGAGCGTTAAATGCACGAAAGAATATCACCAGAAAGCTTCAAATTAGCAGCAGAAGAACACGAGAGGTGAGTCCTGTTACAGGTCAGAGGCCAGTCAGAGGTCAGTCAGAGAGAGGTCAGTCAGAGGTCAGTCAGAGGTCGGAGGTCAGCCTGTCTCACCTCTGCGTGCAGCCAGCTGTAGCGCCTCCTCGATGCATTGCAGCTCCCTCTGCTTGGCCTCCTGCTGGTCGCGCTCCTCTTTCGCTGCATCATACTTTATTGCTACAAAAAAAACACAGACAAAAGAGTTGATGCTGCATTCAGGCACTGTCGGTAAAATGGGAAGAACAGGAGAAAAGAACCAGCGGACTTATTCTCTACAGCGCTGAACTTCAGATGCTTTCACTGCAGGTAAAGAACTGAATGATCTTCAGAGAGGAACGTGTTGCTAACAGGAAGTCAACCCACCGGACCAGCTGTTCAGATAGAAAGTAAAGAAACAGATCCGAGTCTCTTTACTCAACTGTAAACCAACAGACACCTGGAAACAGGAAGCAGCATGTGTTCACTAGCACCAGAACCCATCAGGACTGGTACTGGTCAGCAGAGGTGGTCAGAGTCACAGCTTTACTAAAGTCCAGGGTCCAGTCCACCAAGGTCCACCACTTCAACTCTGTGCTTCGAGTCCTTAAACAAGTCATGTTGTGCCCTTAACATTTTAAATTGCTTCAAATAGAGTAACAGTATAATACAATAACAGAGACTGTTAGTAGTTAGACTATAGCAGTTAAATCATGTCGTATTCTGTTGTGAGGAGAATAAAAAGAGGATTCTTTGCTCCCGTGTAATGTCTTAACCTTTTGAGTCCACACCTCTGCTGCTCCGTACCGATACAACAGCCTCCTCCCACTACCAGTGACTCTAAATCATAGATTATGAGTAAATCCTCCCAGATTAGAAACCAATCATCACAGGTCAGTGTGTGAGCACAGGGCTGCACGAGCTGCTTCTACTCAATCGTCTTGTTTCATCTAAAAGTGTAACCAGTTAGCATTTGATGCTAACAACACGTGCATGTATCTATCTAGTCTATGTGACTTTAGCTCCTTCACAGTAAAAGCTCTCCCGCTGCAGGAATCTGACAGCAAAGACTGCTTTTATTGTGAAGGAGATCTGAACATTTTCCATCAGATCACAACAGAGAATATATTATTATTATTATTATAGTTATCATCGTTACTATTATGTGGACGTCATGCAACCCCGACAGGACTCCCAGAGACCGGATCGGACCTGAACCTCCACCTCTGAACCTCGTGATCTTACCGTTATATGGACATGCTGTCAGCTGAGATCCAGCTGGAACACACATGCACAACTACTGAGAACACACGTCATCAATCATACTCCATTATGTACAAGCTCCACCTCCAGACTGGACCAGCCAATCCGCCGGCTCCCCTCACAGGTCCTCTACTGACTCTCAGTGTAGACAACCTCACAAGTATTGAGAAGATTTATAAAACTGGAGAGAGTTTGATGGATGTTTAACTATTGAATCCAGCTGTGTATTAGTAGTGTAGTTGGTGTAATCAGGTGAACCAGCTCATGAGAGCACCCCCGAGTCAGACCTGGTCCCAGGTGAGGGGCCAGACTTATGATCCCCAGGACGGTTCCACGACCACCACGTGGAACCCTGACGAGGAAACGTTTGGATCTTTTATACTTCTTGGGGATTTCTCCTCGTTGGTAAATCAACATTCTCAAAGTTCTCCATTTTCTGTGATCACGAATGCAAAGAACCTGCCGCATGGAACCTCCTCTCACGCAGAGTTCACAGCAAAACGCTGGAAGAGATTACTTACAACGTCAACGCAAAGACACCAGCAGAGTCCACAAGATCGTCAACTCCCGTCCTAGAGACGTCTGGGTGGATCCTGCTCAGAGTCACCATTGTGCAGGAGGCCGTTCAGAGTTGTGACCAGAAGATGGTTGTCGTACGAGCGGTGAAGGAGGCCATCGAGCTGAAGAAGAAGTCCTTTCAGACCTGCTCGGCCCATGAAACTCCTGGTATCAGGACGTCAGAAGGACTGCAGCTTCTGTGATTGCTGGAGAAACCAAACTAGAGGCCGTGGAAAGGCTTTCCGGCGGCATCACAAAGACCCAACTTCAAACCTGGGAGGACCTAGAGGAGCCTGGGAACACCTCGGGATCTTGCAGGAGGAACTGGAGGATGAGGTTCCTGATCTCTTCTTTGTGTGATATTGAAGTAAATGGACTGGTGATGGAGGCACTGTGTCAACGGATGGAGCTCTCTCCATAGAGCTTTACTTGGGAGAGTGTGAATACTAATGCTGATGGATAAACATGTGTAAAGCCTGTCGTCCTCACACATGACGGACACTCGAGAAGGTTTAAAGCGTCACTTACTGGCTCCAGGAACCACCAGCAGGTACAGGCCGTCCAGCGTGGCGACCACAGCGTCATTGTAGAGATTCTTCCAGGGAATCTTCAACGTCAGCTTCCCTAGAAGAGACAAACAGGAAGTCCTCAGCAGCTGTGTGAGGTTAGTTCAACAGGTTACGTTGTTCAGTCCTCCGTTTCCATGTGAGGTGTTTTTAACATTCTTCATTTAATTATTAATGTCCTTTTAAAGAAGTTAACTTACAGAACAACATATAGATAATAGATTCAAGGCTTTGTTTCAGTGTAGAACTCAGGATCAGTCTTTGTCTCAAGACTTCTTTTAAAGGTCTTGTCTCGTCCTCACATGAAGAGGACTCTGGGTCATATTTATATATAGAAGATGATTTATCACCATTACTGGGATTACTCGTAGAAAAAAAAAGGACAATTACAACACATAAAATGATATGTATAATATATAATATAATAATTTATTTTATTATATTATATCACATTATTAGTTTCAGAACTCACCGATCTGTCCGGCCTTCACTTTGAATGGAACATCAAACTCACTCTGAAACACAAAGACACAGATGATCATTATTATTACCATTATTATTATTATTATTATTACAGATGAAACAATGAGTCAGTTCATCAATTAGCTGATTGACAGAATAAATTAAGCCGTGTTTCTATATTTAATATCTCGTCTTCTTTATGAGTCAGAAACAAAAAGTCGTCACTTTGAGCTCTGAAACGTTTTGATGAAGATTTAATTTTTTTAACTTTATGATAAAAACAATTGATTCTCATTTCATATCAACTCTCTATGTGTGTGTGTTTATAACTGAGCATGATGTATTAATGTGTATGATGACATCAGAGGGACACTATGCATGATGACATCAGAGGGAGGAGGCGGGGCTTACCAAAGCATTCTCCTTCACTTTCAGGTTCTCCAGAACAACGTTTCCTTCAGACACAGAAGAGGAACAGTCAGTACAACTGATTATAACGTCTTTATGTTATCTAACATCCATGAAGCCAGAGCTCTGATTGGTCAGTAGGCGGAGCTTATATACGAGCAGCTGATGTGCTCAGCATCAGTTACCATGGTGATCTACCAGGTAACAAGCGAAGTCACCTCGATAACCACGACAGCCTGCTTCCTGGTGCAGGACTGAGGCTGTTTACAGAGCCGTCAGCTGATTGGTGGAGCCTGTCTGTCTCCAGGTGTGACATGTGAACAGGAAGCTCCAGCGTCTGATTGTTTTAAACACAACATGAAGTAATGCTGACATCGTATTTAAACAATGACTCACAATATAATACAATGTCAACATTCAACATTTAGGTTTGTTATTATAGACTCAATGATCTCACATTATATTAAAGAGAACTAAATAAAGCAGATGATGGTTTAAAAACGTTCAAACTCATAAATAACATCTGTCTGCCATGATGTGTTCAGGGACACTCGTTCACAAAAGCACTTTAAGATGAAGAGTCTTCTGTTGTTTTATTCTGTGAGAGAGGAGTAATACACACAGTGTGTGTGTGTGTGTGTGTGTGTGTGTGTGTGTGTAGCTGATAAGCAGACGTTTCTCTACCAGTTAACTGTCTTTAACCTCGTGACCGCCTCACTGTCCCGTGTGTCACATTAACTGTTTAGTGTCTGGACGGTTTCACATGAAGGTGTATTTATACACATACATAATATATATATATACATATGTATGTGTATATGTATGTATCTCCAGGTGTATCTCACCGCAGGTGTCTTGTTGACCGGATGTGACGTCCTGTGACGGAGACATTAACACACACGTGGTTCCAACACACTGACCGTACTAACACCATGATGACGTAACGAGTCTCTCTCCAGTCATGAATGTGAAGATCAACTGTCTCAATAATTAATAACTTCACATTCATGAAGAAGAAGAGCTTCCGTCTCGCTACTGGCGGTGACAGAGTGAAGCTCCACTAACGTCAACACTTCATCGGTTTATCACCGCCGACAAGAAGCACAGCCCAGAGCTAATCATCAATGATGATAACAACAATAATAACAACATGTTGTGCGATGTGTTCGTGCTTCTCTAGAGAGGAGGAACCGTTACAGGACGAGGTTTCTGAACGGGAGTCTGGTCCAGCTCACCTCCCCAGATCCCGATCTTGAGCTGGGACTTGTCCAGGTTCTCCACGTAGTCTCCGATGAACCTGTTGAGCAGGTCGCTGACCAGAGACTCGAAGACCATGGCTGAAAGGTCCGGAGGTCGGGTCACCGTCGGTCTGCACCTGATTTCCGGGTTCTGACGACGAGCAGTCCGCGGATCGACTCCCTCTGGGATCGATTAGTTCTGTCTGTGTGTTGACGGTGATGTGAGCGCGAGAGAGCATCGATGAGTCAGGTGACTGAGTCAATGAGGGAGGAACAAAGTACTATATTAATAATAGTATTAATAAATACAATAAGTAATACTACAGGGTACAAATACTCTGTTTAAAGTAAATTAAAAATACAACCAATTATATCTTTCATTATAAATACATTCAACCAAAAAATATATATTAATAATGAGAATTAAAAATAATAATAACAATAATTATTATCATCAGTATCATTATTATTGTCATTATTATTCTTAAAATAAATAAATAATTTAAATATTATTCAAGATGTTTTTTAAGAAATTAATCTCAACAATTAATTAACATAAAGGTTTTTATCCGTCTTTAAAGTTCAACACCACAGGAAGTATGAATTCAATGTTTAAAATGTTTAAAACAAAAGAAGATATATGAATATGTGACAGATGTACATTTGAAGAGAGACTGAAACTGAAAGTATTTATTATTAATATTATAATTTTAGAAACCAGTTGTGTCTCCATTATTCCATTATTATCTGTTTCTTCTTCTGGGCTTCATATAAAGGTTGCATTAGACGTAAACTGAGCTGGCTGTAACAACCCTGATGTTTAAATATCAGACACACAAATATCTATCAATACTCTCTGTCACGGTTTCATTATTAACAATGGATCCTGAAGATACAAACATCTGAAACAAATGTTCATTTTTATTCAAAGGATTTTGTAAAATACTCGTAAAATTATACAGAGTTTGGTTCATAACGTCAAACACACACACACACACACGCACTCAAACACACACACACGCACACAAACACACCCACACACGCAAACACACATACACGCACACACACACACACACACACGCACTCAAACACACACACACGCACACAAACACACGCACACACACACACACGCACTCAAACACACACACACGCACACAAACACACGCACACACACACACACACACACACATGCACTCAAACACATGCACGCACACAAACACACACACACACACACAAACACAAACACAGTGAAGAGCTGTTTATGAAAGTTAGACAGAAGAGAACATAATTCATCAGCTGATTCTGAACTGATTGAAGATGACTCATTGTACACTAATCATGACATGATGTATTACATCAAACTGACCCTGGATCTGCCATTAATGATCCAATCAAAGCACACACTTGTTTGAATGCACGAGGTTTAATTAAACCTGACACAGACCGGTTAACTGAGGTTTAACTTAAACTTTCTTCTCTTTTTGGTTCTAGGCTCCAGCTAAGGTCCTGGTTCGAGGCCTTTCACAATAAGAGCTTCAGTTCTGAGCATCATATTAACAATGAGCACACGATGTGACACTGACCTCTGCTCTACAGATGCAACCTGTTAAACCCAACACTGTTTCCACGGTAACACTTCAGCCTTAAAACAGGAAGTGTACGAGAGTCGTTGTTGTTGATCGGGACAAACATGTTTTATTAAAAAAACATTTTCCGCTGATGGAGCGTAATCAGCGGTCAGCTGGTGATTGGTGCTGAGTGCAGCGATGATGTCGTCAGCGTGTCACAGTTCAGGGAATCGGCGAAAAGAAGCAGCTGATTGATGTTGATGGAGGAAACATCTAATGTTCTCCAATCAAACACACGGAGAGCATCATTAGTGAGCTCCACAGGAACCACAATATGAACACCAGCATATATCTGTTATTGTTCATTTTGTAGTTTATATCATGTTTCCTGATTTGAGTTATTGGGCGAAATCAAGAAATGTTTAACTTCAATCACTTCAGAAATCAGTTTTATACACTTTGCATGGACTCAGGTGGTCTCCGGTGGTCTCAGGTGGCCTCTGGAGGTTTCTGGTTGTCTCTGGAGGTTCTTGTAGGTCTCAGGTAGTCTCTGGAAGTTTCAGGTGGCCTCTGGAGGATTTTGGAGGTCTCAGGTGGTCACTGGAGGTCTCAGATGGTCTCTGGGTTGATCTGCTGACTATGACCTCCTGTCCTTTGTCTCATCTAATTTCCTGTCCTCTCTTCTCTAATAAAAACCAACAGAACCCTCCTTCAGGTGGAGGGTTGGGTCCTGGTGGGATCTCCTGGGGGAACCATGAGCGCCAGGTGGGGGTTCAGAAGTGACTGCAGAACCCTAATGGATCCCTCTGCTGGAGCTCGTCCTGGACAGGGAGCTCACCTGGGACTGGGTCTCCACTCATGGGGGGGGTCAATCTGAAGGGACCACATGGTCTTGGCTGTTAACCCTGGTCTACCAAAGCCAGATGTTTTGAACCGGAGCACACGGAGCCTGGCTCCAGGTCTCAGTTTGTTACAGTTTACAGGATAAATTAAAAACAAAGGTGGAAATATTAAGTACATAATAAACTTGGAAAAGTAAAAAAACAGGTTTTTAAATAAACATATTAAATAAAAAATGATCAAGAAAAATTATCAAGAGATTCTGATTCAGGAAACACTCACATGTTTGTATGACATCAATTGATCCGTTTCTGTGGCCATATAAATAAAGATAAATAAGAAAAAGACATAATTATAATTATAATTAGATGATGTCATCCCCCCTCCCCCTCAGCTGGTCATGTGACCTCCCTCCTTTAAATCACCCGTCGTCCCCTCGAGAGAGACAGACAGCGAAGAGTCACAGCTACAGGTAAGTCACCTCTCCTCCTCTGTCTCACTCTCTCTACTACAACTTCATGTGCTTTGACTTTATTTAAAGAAACTTATTTAAAATATTATAATACAAATATGATATATTATAATTTGATATGTCATTCAACGTTTATTGTCATTATATTTACAACAAAACATTGTGTTGTCGTTCTGAGATCAAAATAATTTTAAAAGCACACGATAAATACAACAAAATAATGATAAAGAATAAGCCATGTATAGTATATATTCATATACGTATACTGTAAGTACATATTAATATTATATGATATTTAATTTCACTGTTCTTTTTCTGATTCGAGATATATATTACATATATATTTGTGTGTGTGTTCAGGTCATTACTATACTTTCATCTTTCATATTTTTATGTTTACTCTGTAACTTTGCTTGCTGCTACTACAAACAAATTTCCCCCTGGGGATGAATAAAGTATACATCTATCTATCTATCTATCTATCTATCTATCTATACTAACAGACAATACTATGAATTAAATTAAATTAGACACAGTACGAAACACGATTATGTGAATATAATTCCACTTTTTATAACCTGAATATTTCAGAAATGTATGTGAATATGAATTAATATATATTAATGAATCCCTGAGAGCACTTCAGAAACTGAACTCTTATAATTAATAACTAAACTGAACACTAATCCGGTTTCCTTCTTTCAGAGGCCCTTGGAGGAGAAGCTGAGGATTGTGGGAGTTGTGGTGTAGACGGTCTCTTTTTCTTCTTCTTCTTCTTGTTCTTCTTCTTCTCTGGGACAGCAGGATGTTGGGCTCTGTGCTGCTCTGCTGTTGGTCCTTCAGTCTGCTGCATCTCTCTTCTTCTCTGGTTCATGGAAACATCCAGCTGGACGACGGCCGCCGCGGCGACACCTCCTACCTGTCTGACATCGGTCAGTAAACACCTGACCAATCAGAGAGCTTGCCTATCACCTGACACGCCACAGCAAGGCTGAAAGAATGAGCCACTATTTAGTGACACAAACGTTACTGTGGGGGGGTTATTTCAACACAAACAGAAATAATATCAGAACTGAACTTTATGAAATAACTAAGAATTTAACACATTAAATAGGAGTGTTTGTTTGCAATGGTACAAACTTTTTTGGTTTGTATAGAATGAAGTACTCAAGATACGACCCTAACTAAGTAGTTTAGTTGTCTAAACCTAACTAAGTAGTTTCGTTGTCTCAACCTAACTAAGTAGTTTTGTTGTCTCAACCTAACTAAGTAGTTTCGTTGTCTCAACCTAACTAAGTAGTTTCGTTGTCTCAACCTAACTAAGTAGTTTTGTTGTCTCAACCTAACGAAGTAGTTTTGTTGTCTCAACCTAACTCAGTAGTTTAGTTGTCGAAACCTAACTCAGTAGTTTTGTTGTCGAAACCTAACTCAGAAGTTTTGTTGTCGAAACCTAACTAAGTAGTTTTGTTGTCGAAACCTAACTCAGTAGTTTCGTTGTCGAAACCTAACTAAGTAGTTTCCTTGTCGAAACCTAAATAAGTAGTTTCGTTGTCTCACCCAAAATAAGTAGTTTCGTTGTCTCACACTAACTAAGTAGTTTTGTTGTCTCAACCTAACTAAGTAGTTTTGTTGTCTCAACCTAACTAAGTAGTTTTGTTGTCTAAACCTAACTAAGTAGTTTTGTTGTCGAAACCTGACTCAGTAGTTTTGTTGTCGAAACCTAACTCAGTAGTTTTGTTGTCGAAACCTAACTAAGTAGTTTTGTTGTCGAAACCTAACTAAGTAGTTT